GCAGCTGAGGAAGCGCGGGCGTCTGAGCTTCCGCTGCTGGTGCAGGGATGCGCCTTGGCCGGTCCTCTGAAATGCGGTGCTTCGCACAGCCTCACTACAGCTTCTCTCCGGAGGAGGGAGGTGGCAGCGGGCGCGCTCCCTTTTCATGTAGCTCTTGCGCTCACAGGCCCTCCCGTTCTCTCCTTCTCCGCGTGCGCGCCCCGCGCCCCGCCCTTCTTGGCAGGGAACACCCGCCAAGGCTGCGCCCGGAGCCCTTCCTATACCCGCTGAGGACGCAGCTACCTCTGTGCATCTGGCTTGAGCAAATCCCTAAACCTCCCCAGTCCCCAGCAGTGGTTGTCTGGAGATAGGGATGGATCAGATGGTGGACCCAAGAGACCGTTGATGGGGCTAGGTCTGAGCCAGGCAAAGTGCAAGGCTGAGAGGTGAGGTGTGGCTCAGTCATAACAGTTCCTCCCACCGCCGCACACAAGCTCTGATGTGACTTCATAGTTTTACACCTTTGTCAAGATTATGAAAGCCAAGATACATTCATGTAGTACCTCCTGAGAGGACCAACCCAGACCTTCCCAACCTATGCACTGTAGTGTCACCCTCGGTCCCCCTAATAGGGAAGGGGCAGATCTACCCATGGATCCCACCCTTCATCTCCACTGGACCTCAAGACTTGAGTCACCCTTGAAATTCAAATGACCCCTGCTTAGAGCCAAATATGTTACAATAGACCCTTGCTAACTAAAGAGACAGGTTTCACTCTGAAATCCCTCATGGCTGGTGGTCAGACCTGGAAAGCCCCATGAGCTCACACAAGCCTTTGCTCTTTACTGGAGGCAGAAATGTTCTCAGAGACCAGGTTTTCTCCATTTTTTTTGCACAAAAATTCAGGGAGTGAGAGCAGGTGGTAGACTTCTGTGAACCTTAGCCTGCTTCAGGGGGGCAGGCTGAATTTTGGTCCAGTTAATCTATTAACTTTTGATCATGTCTTTTGAGACGTGTATTTGTCCCAATGCATTGTTTTTCAATACAAAAACACATCAATATTTTTCTCTCTTCCTGAGCTTGCACCTTTCGATAGAAAATCAGAATTTTATTTTTCTTTTAACCATTGAGCCCAGCTATGTATTTGACTACTTATTATGAATAAGAACTATTCTGAAATACTTTCAAAGTAATATGTAAATACTAAATAATAGTCATTTGTTATAAACACAGCTTGAGCTGAATGTTACATATTTAACAAGTGCTGCAATGTTTATTTTTGAACTATTGACTAGCCCAGGGATGAGAGTACAATGAACTTACCAAATAAACTAAATGCAAAGGTCTGAGCCTATTCCTTCACATTCTAATGCAAAATGAATGCCAAGGGGTAAGTATACTAGTAGAGAACGTATGGAGCCAAGTGTATTTTCTTGAGAACAGAAATCAGAGCTTCTGTTTACCATTTCAGTGACAAATGCTAAGCAATTTCTGCCAAATGCTAACCCAGAAAATAAATTCCATCTTCTAACCCCTGTGGATATTCTATTAGGGTCATTTATTAAGCACTTTAAGTAACTCAACCATATTTTACTCTCTCCTAACTCTTCTACCTGGACATGCAGTGAGTATATTCAAAGAAACACCTCTGAGTTTGATTTCAGATAGTTGGACATCATTAACCCTTCAGAACACCTAATAATTAGATAAGTAATAATTAAGTAGATGGGCACATTGCACTATGATCATATCATTTAGGCAGGACAATAAGCTGGTACTAAATGGTATTCAGTGACCTGACACAAGTAACTACAGAAATGCCAAAGATACTTCCAGGGTAGCCTTTAGCAAATCTAAGTACTATTCAATAATGGTTCTTACTTAAAATGAAAATTACCTGGAAATTCTAATTCAAGTAATTTTTAAAAACTGATGTCACTTCCTTTACATCACCAGGATATTAATTAAAGAAGTGACTGGAATTAATGCATACTTTTCTCATGAAAACCAAAGTTAGATGTCATTCAAACTTCGCAAAGCTAATGCTATTTAAGCCATGGATCCCAATTCCAAGCAGCCACAGCTCTCCATCCTGCAAGATGACAATTGGCTTGGTCACAGTTTTGTCAGTGGCTCTTATTAACTGTGCTAGCTTTCTGCTGCACTGGGGGCTTTTATATTTTTTCTTATTTTATTCCCACAAGAACCATGCAAGGTAGGCATTATTATCTTCATCTAACAAATGAAGGAACTTAGGCACAGGAAGCTTACTTCATTTGCCCATAGTCACACAGTTAATAAATGTAGAACCTGACACAATTTTTAAATTTTCCTGATGTTTTTTTAAAATTCAAGTCAGCTTTTCAATTCTATGGCAATATGCTCATAAAGCAATATCAAATTCTGGTGTGAAGTTTAATCTCTTTATGAAAATGCAGTCTTTTAATCAATGAATGTATTATTTCATAACAGAGAGAAGACAACTCTGTTGTGAACACTGCTTCCTATAGTGATGGAAACCATCAAATGTGTCTACCCTAAGCTAAAATTTTTATGAGAACTTTTGCACTTCACTCTCTGACACAAAGTTGATGGACAATCTAATCTAAAGATGAATAATTTTTAGTTGACCATGTATCTCTTTTCAGGTAACTTTGACTTCTTCATAGAAAATATGCTTAATCATTTATATTCTAAGAGAATTACAGAATAAAGGGCATAAGCAGGAATAGATGCACTTCCTGTTGTTGTTATTGTTGTTGTTGTTTTCCCTCTAGGAGGGGAAATTTATTCAATCCCATTCATAATCTCTCTTCAGTCCTCCTCTGGGTCCATGGGCATGCAGTACTCCTGGGTTGGAGTACCAAGCATATTTAGTGCCCACCACAATTATGAGGAACATCATTCTAACTTTCTTTTGTATTTCTTTCCATATGGTAAAGGCTCTTTATGGCATTTTCCACATTGTTTCGTAATTGCCCCTAATTACGGAACACTTACTGTAAGTGTTTCACATGTTTTGATCATTCTGGTCCCTCATTCTGTTCATATTGTCTAATTATATTTGGGGGACCTAAGTCCAGTACTTTCTATTTTCCTTATTTAATTGTGTATTGTTATTTGATCCAACCTTCTAACCTGTTGAGTGAGATCCTTTTGGACACATTGTCACCTTATATAAGAGTGATCCCTCCAGCTTCCTGTCAGTCTGATGATTATTACCACTGCATCAACATCTTCATCTCAGTTGTTGATAAAAACTTTCAACAGGAACATGGTCACAGCAAGCTCCAACAGCTCACTGCCCAGACTCTATCTCTAGGTTGACAGTTGATGGCAAATGACTCTCTCAATGTACTTGGGTAATTACAGAAATTAATGTGTTCTCTACAATAAGTAAATATCTAGAAATCCAATAATAATTAAAATTCACATTTTTATATCTAAGATTATATCCTTGACTTTGATGCTATTTTGAGGTGATGAGTATTTTATAGACTACAAAGTTTTCATTCATTCATCCATTTATCCAATAATTTTTTAATGTTTCCAATGTGCCAAGCACTGTGCTAGGTGGGAACACTATAGCCATAAGATAGAATTACAAATATTCTCTGCCCACAACATTCATTGACACATATTTCTGGCTTGAAACAAAGGTGCTTTAGCTATGTTTTTTTGTAAGTAACAGAGTTGAGTTTTGATTTAGGGACCAATTTGAAAATTGATTTTTTTTAATAGGTTAGTTAAACCCATTCACATTTAGTCATAAAACTAATTTGTTTCATGTCAAATCTGTCATATTATTTTATGTGTATTATTTTATATTTACTTTGCTATTTTATTTAGTTAGTGTGTCTCTATTGTTCTTTAAAATATTTGTTTTGGTGTTTAGGAAGAATTATATTTTTGTTCTAGTGGGTATTCCATATTTTAACATTTATGCTGTCATTAAAAATGATAAATTTTTATCATTTATACTGTCATTGCTCCCTTTTCCTTATTTAACTTTTTATTGTTTTGCCTGTCAGTTTAAAATGTTACCATTTCATACCAAACTGTAAGCAAGTCAATGATTTTATTACTTTCTCTTTCCTCTCATTTTCAGCTACGTTCTTTCTAATCTGTGGGACATATTGCTTTTGCTATTATTCTTTACCAATGTGTTGTAAATGTTTCCCTCCACATCCCGCGTGGTTCAGGGTTCAGGATCTGGAAGAGGAGCAGCACACAAATGAAAGAGAAAAGACAAGAGATAATTTGGGAATATTGGGGGGCCAGGCGGGTAAGTCCAACTCAAGAGGAAGGACTTCCACTGGTGCTCAGGCCGTACCATCCTTTTTAGTCAGAGGTAAACAAGGAAGTGGTCCCCATAGTTACACAGTTCTTGTGAGTTTCACCTGTTTTGACCATAGTTACACTTCCTGCACTCCCCTCAGCCCATTAGCCTCCCAGATAAGATTCAGGGAGTGTTATAAGGTCAAGCCTAATTATGCTAAGACATAGTTACATTCTTGTGAGTTTCACCTGTTTTGACCATAGTTACACTTCCTGCACTCCCCTCAGCCCATTAGCCTCCCAGATAAGATTCTTCAACAAGCCTAATTATGCTAAGAGGACTGAGCCCTCTAAGCTGGGACTTGTTTGTGACTTTGCCAGCAGGTCAGTCCGAGGTTCAAACCTATATCAGTTCCCCACATCTCCCCCCTTTTTTATTATTAAGCTACTACAATGAAAATAAAACTTAAACATCAAGAACAAAAAGCTACCATAATAAAAGTAAAACTTAAGCATCAAGAACAAAAATGTTTAAGTCCCAATTTCGATGTCCAACAGTTCTGAGTCCAAGTTTCAATGTCCGACAGTTCCTTATGTGTACATGTCAGCAATGATATTTCAGTTCTGGATG